CTTGGTGGCTAATTTTTCTTGACCAGCTTGTGCTGAAACTGATTGGAAGTTCAACAGAAAAATGATCACATGATAAATCAAGTCACAGGGAAATTAATGGAGGATTGTCGTAGGGCAAAAACAGTGGTGTGGCTGTTCAGCTGTTTTTGGGAAAAAAATTCAACCCACCCCTGGACAGCATTCAGACTTTGGAAACCCACTTAATCAGTGCATGGCAAAAACAAAAAAAATATATATATATATATATTAATATTAAGAGCTCAAGTTCTGCATCATGGGGTTCTTGAAACATTTTCCATTAGAAAATTCAAGGATTTCAATTCATTATTATCAAAAAAAGAATACACAATATATATTTAGCAATTTTTGAATGACACTGAGTATCTGAAGAATTATGGAGATTGAGGAGGGTGTTATCTGCAGAGGCCCCAAAGCCTAATTAATTTGAATAAATAATAAAACAATTATTGAATTAGGTTTTCATATCATCTGAAGAATTGTGGAGATCTCGGAGGGTGTAATACCTCCCTCCTTGATCTCCATAATTCTTCAGATGATACACAACCTCGTTCAATAAGAGGATATTACATGGCCGTGCGGGGATACGAATTTCATCTTCGAGTGCTGAGCGAAGCTCACTCGTGAGAGATACTTTCAGCACGTGAAAGTGAAAATTTGGCAGCTCACCAAGAAATACACCGGTAACTGTACCATCTTTGCACCTCGAAGCCATTTTGTGAATTAAATTTCAAAAGAACCGGCCGCGCGCCTGAGCAGGAAGCTCTCTTCTAATTTGCTAATCATAGCGGAGCTCCACGCGCGCCTCGCGTGCGCGTGGGCGGAGCCCCATTGCTACGTAAATCTACCCATCCCAGAAAATTTGGTAATCACGTGACCGTACACCGACCGCCCGCCGTCCATCCGCACCACAGGAAAACCAATGTTTACTCTCACACTTTTAGCTAGTTTGGGAGCCCAAGAGAAAACTAATTGCACAGGCTGCACATCAATGTTGTGATCAATTGACAGCATCAAAACAGGGCATCCGCTGACAAGTATCACCTGACCGTACCGCCGGCTCAAGTGTCGACCCATCAAGGTTGAGTATTTTTTTAAGGTTATCCGCTGACAAATTACCAGTTTCAAATGATCGCAGGCTCAAGTTTATTTTTCCAAGGATTCATATCAAATATGTTGTGTTTATGTCACTATGGCCCCACACTATTAGGATTTTGATTTCAAACTGACCTCGGAAGTGAAAATTCATCCAGTTTTTTTAAAAGTACAGGCGGGGAAGACCTTATCTTACCATGGTCACGCGTTGGTCACGCTCTACGTCCAATTTTTATACTCTGATTGGTCAAAATTTGACAGGTGAGTTTATGCGGAAAAATTATGCAGCATCTTGAAAGTAGTTTACTTTGACAGCTGAAGCTGACAGAGTTTTGTGTCAACTTGTGATGTTTTTAACTGTCTTCTTCCTCTGGAGGTACAAAATGAAATACAGCTGCTATCAAGAGTCTACTGTTATTCATGGCTGGTTTGTTTACTGGGTTTTGGTTGAGAAATGCATCGCTTGTCAAAATTTGGTAATTCGATTTCGGATGGCATTGTTTTTGTTTTTAACCTTGCTTAATGCATAACAGGGTTTAAAAGTCTCAAGCAACTGTGACCTTCCTTGATAGCTTTCAGGAACTGAATCTCGAATGGTAAGCCTAAGTAATTATTGTATTTGATGTTTGTGTTTCATGAAGTCTTGCACAGTTCACGCTGACAGTTTATGCGGCAAGTTTATGCACGTTTGCAGGATTTGAGTCAATGATCTGACCTAAAGTATCAGGTTTGATATAAGCTTACAGAACTTTAAAAAGCCTTCAGATATATTTGCTCACCACAAATAGAAAGAAAACGTTCCGAAGGATATTTAGTTATAAATTTGGCTGTAGAAAGAAAACTTTGAGCGATTTTCTTGCTTCGAGGAGTTCACCTTTGAAAACAGTAAACACTGCGCTGGGAAGCCGGCTAAAACATAAACTTAAGCTTTACGCTTAAAGACTCAGGATTTTTAGAGACACTTTAATTACTTGTCTTCGTGAATGAAAATTGTTGTCTCTGTAAATTTTTCATGGAATTATATCTCTTTTTTTGATTGTTAGTAGTCTCTCTTGCAATTTTAATGCTTGTCCATGCCGTTTGTTTTCATAGTTCATGACCATCCCTTGCAGGAGTACTCAAAAATGTCGCGCGTATCAAACGCTTTATAAGATTACACATCGTTATAACTGAAACCATTAAATAACAAAACAAATAATAATAAATTCGCTATTATGTTGAAGCATAACTCTGTTAAAGTTCATTCAAACACTCGACCACACCGACAGCTTGCACTATAGAAACGAGAACCAGCTGGCCGTATGGGTGATTTTGGAAACGGTTTGGCTCGTCCTGAATATTGACTGAGTGTAATTTGTCTTGAAAAATTGTGAAATAGCGCATTCTGTCCGAGCTCTGTATGATAAATAGTACTGTTTCACCTCAAGTGTGGTGTATAAAAATTATAAAAGGTTGGTTTAAACACCCCCAGATTTATTGGCAAGAATTTGTAAAGTAAACCTGTCGAACGCAAAAAAATTTGGCGTGATTTGTTTTCCAAGAATTTGTTTTCGAGGCCTAATCTTCTGTGATCTTGAATGTGATCGAAGATGTTTGCTATTTTTTGGGTGTACATATCACTCTAAAATAACTTAGCCTTTCCCTCAAAAGTCACATTAATGTGCCCTTAAGTTAAATGATTTGTGGATTAAAAGTTTATTGTTTAATTTAAATTATAAATTTATTAAAATTGGAGCTTCGCTTTTAGCCCTGGCTAAATCTATATATTATTAGTAACCATGGCGAAACAAATATCCTCACACTTGAAAGACAAAAATAGTATCTTCATTGCACGCTATGAAGATAAGATTTTTTAGTAAAAGGAAAAATCCTGGTATTTCATCAGTATCTATATAATAAAATTATTTATCCTCCTGCCTGCAACATAATAATACTTTCTTTTTTAACTGAGAGGAGGCCTCAATTAAGATTAGGAGTTCGGAATGCAAGCAGTGATACCTTAAGCATTAGAATAACCAAAACCGGGCGGGGAAAATATCGATTTTTTGTATGTTTTGAAGATTGTGAAACAGCTCTTTAAAGGTCTCACATGAACGAGCTACTCCTCGAGAGTCCAACAGGGAGAAAACAACAAAACAAAGCTACGGGAAAAATGCCCTTCTTAGGTTTCCAAAACAAATTATAACTTACCAGTGTGTTTAGCCTTGGTCAGCGCTGCAACTTCTTGAGGTCCAAAATCGAGTATCTGATATATCAAACTTCACTGTTAGAGTAGTTTGTTTAACATTAATCTGAGGGAGAAAATGAGTAGATGAAATTCGGTATGCGGAAGAAGTGATTAGTGATCTAACAGACGTACTCGAAAGTGAAACCAAAAGGATCTATAATCTCTCGCGTTTATCGTGATCAAGCACCCCTCCAAACGACATCTGTTCTGCTAAAGAAAACTAAATTTGCTATATGAGCTTACCTTCTTGGTCAGATGTCAGTTATGCAAGGCAAAAAGAAGAGAAAAGGAGAGGAACTGATAGACAGACCTGATCGCCGTGAAGACCAAAATCAAACTGCGTAGCATTCTGGGATACGGAAATTCCCCGAAATTAACATTTGGTGGACCGGGGAGTGGGGGGAGGGGTAAGGGCGGATAGGAATCCCTGAGGTAAGTCCTCCGATCCAGAGAGTAACTAACCCAACCCAGGCACTGCCGAGAGAAAGCGCATTACGCACAGGAACAGTATACTTTACCCCCACCCTTTCCCAGCATAGCATGGGTACGGCCGGTGGGGGAAAAGGCCAGAAAAAAAATCCGGGAGGCGTTCAGACAGTCGGGAGCGGCACGAAGTTAAGAATCGAAAGCAAGGAAAGTAGATGGGGAAACTTTCAATCTGGGAACATAGCGGCGCCTACCTTTCTTTTCTTCTTTTCTTTATTTTAAATTTTTAGCCTCATGCACTATGTGAAATCCCGGGGGAGGAATGTGAACTTACTTCATGAAGGCCCGGTTTATTTCATTTCGCATACAAAATTCAGTAGTTTTTTAATCTAATATCCCGGAATTAGATTTTTGGAAAACATAAAAAATTCAGTAATTTTTTAATCTAATATCCCGGAATCAGAGTTCTGAAAAACATAATGTTGGTACTTTTAGATGGCTCAATCGCTCGTCGCCAAACTTCAGACTCGGTCATAAGGCTTCCCGTGCAAAAGACCATACCCTGTTCAGTAGCACATACCGGTTAGGTTAAATGAAGGAGTGTCCCACCCGGGGGTGAAATCTAGCACAGACTTGCGTGTCATTTCTAGGCGTCCTTAATAGTGTATCTACACACGCCATCCCGAGCAAGACTCTTCAACAATCCCGTTATCCCAAATGTTTCTAAATGCTTATCCCGATCCCACTGGAGCATGCGTTAATAGTGCCTTATAGATTAAAGGTACCAGATTCCCTCATCTTTGGACCAGTTGAAGAGTACTGTAAACGAAAAATTGGTGCGCTAAAAAAGGCACGGGACAGTGTCGAGGAAATTCACTTGTGGGCAAACTCTGTTAAGTCAGAAAATGACGACAGCATTGTCTGAATGTCGGTTTAAAAACACACACACACACACACACACACACACACACACACATGCACACTAACTTCCTTGTCCTGCCGCAATATCTGTTCGAGTTCTCTTCGACAGCAGGAACCTGGACCGTAGTGACGGGAAGGGCGGCAAAAGGCGGGAGGCCTTGATGCGACCGTTCCTCTTGTCCCTTCCGATCCTATCATCCCCCGCGCTTCACGATTCTTTTTCCCAGTCTCCCACTAAAGACGTGTACATAGGCATCCGCAGAAGAGATATATAAACCACTTGACTAAGAACACAAGCATATACTTCCGCATTCTTGCTTCAGTTCAAGTTTATTTATTTGTCAAATGCCCTTAAATCCGACATCAAGGAGGGCATACAATAATATTTTAATTTTACTTTTTTCAAATAATGCCACTAAAATTAAATCGCGATGGAGTCGTCAGACTGTTCCTGTGACATTTACTGTTAAGTCAGTAGCACGATATCAGCTACTGAACTGAAAAATTATTTGAAAATAAAGCAGTCATGCACTTCATTATGGAACGGCCCCATAGATAAAATATATAAAGAGAACGAAAAAAGAACGCTGACTTAAATATGCAACAAAAAAGGACCTCATTAGTAGTGTGTTCGTTTTTTTTTTTCAAACTGAGTATTACTGGGGATTCAGCTGTTTCCTTCGAAGCCATATAACGCGTGCTCCCCGTTTTCTTTCGTTCGAAAAGAAAAGAAAATACGAAAAAGTGGCTAAGCTAATGTTACTTTGAAAATAGAGGGGCCGAATAACGCGACATTGGGGAGCTTAAGCAACGACGACTGCGACGGCAACGAGGACGGCAAAAAGGCAATAACTTTATATAAGATAAACAACAACCATGCACGTGCACAGTCACGCTTTTTTCTACATTTCTTAGCAGTGGTACCTGTTGCACGACTACAAGGTGTCACGTTTCGTCGAGGACGGGAACATTCGACGACAACTTTCTTTTTCTTTTCCTGAACGTGAATACAGTCCTTTAGAATTCAACACCAAAAAAAAAATGGTGACATTTGTCGAATGAAACGAGATGGAATAAGCGAACAAACGTTTTATTAAATGACGTTTTCGTAGCCGTCGCCGTCTTTGTTGCTTAAACTCCATATTGGTGCGATCTCAACGTTAATTGATCTTCTCAGAACCAGCTGAGAAATTTGTTGTGAAACAATTTCGCATTGCAACTGACTTAACACCTTCACAGTAAGACCTTCTAGTTATGGCGAAATTATCCGTTATTCTAACTTTTGAAAATTGGATGAAATCGTAAGGTGTTACCATTCGCATTGAAGAGTAGAACAACTGCACAGTTCTATTTATTTCTTAGGATTTGACTAAAAGAAATTTGGATCTTTTTCGAGACTTTTCACTTTGCTTACTGACAGAAGTGAAATGGCTTATTTGTCACTGTTGCTTAGTAGTAAAATAAAATTTTTTATATTTTCTGGAAACACGTGAGAGCCAACATGAAGTATACCTAAACGTAAGGCTTTCTCTAATATGCCATTTCCGAGTTCCAAAAAATCTCACTTTCAAAGCGAGGCTAAGTGCGAAGCTATTGATATGAAAATGATTTTTAATTATGATGCAAATAAAACTCATTTTCACAACAGAGGTTTCGCACTTAGCCTCGTTTTGAGAGTGAGAGTTTTTGGAACTCGGAAATGGTGTATTTTTAAACACAGAACACTGCATTACAAAAAAATTACCAATAAGTATATATTGAAAGGGGAACCGTCAGGAATGTCTTGTTATACTTTTGTTAAAGTTATAAGCGAGTTCGTTTTCTTTTCCCGGTTCCCTGCAATATCATTGGGATAGTTACCAAGTAAACCAAGTAAACAAAACCAAAAAGTCACTTTTAACGATCCGCGTGTACTACTAACGAAATCGTTGAAAAATATGATATAAAAATATTAATAAATAGGCTACTTTGCAGCACAACTCAATTCAAATCTCATTAATAAATCCACGCGCTCTTGCGATGCGCAAACTCCAAACGAAAACTCTGAATAAATTTCTTAATAAATGAATTTGAACTTTAAAAGTGAACACAGCATACCTCAAACAACACAGTCAACTTCATTTTTAACTTGTATATAGCTAATTCAGGGATTGATTGATGCGGCTTGTGAAGTAAAATTTCTACCCATGTGAGGGAATCCAAGACAGTCTTGGATTGTGGATTCCACTGACAGTGGATTCCGGATTCCAGGTACTCAGTTCCAGTTTTTGTCAGTAGAACTTGGATTCCGATTTCAATCGTCAGTGGGATTCCGGATTCCTTGAGCTGTATTCCGGATTCCAAAGTCCAGCATTTCGGATTCCATAAGCAAAATTTTCCTGGATTCCGGAGTCCACAGGCACCTTACATTGGGCGAAAAATTGCTTCTGGAAAATCTAAGAAAGGTGTGGTGCTTATATGTGTTTTGATTCAATTTTATCCTTAGTTAAATATATTATTTTATTATATAGACATGAGCGTTTTACTGGAAAATATACCACTCGTAAAATTCATAAAAACTAAATCTGGGACTGACTGGTTTATTTTCATTAATCTCACACGTGAGTTTATCGATGACGCAATTTCAGTAATTTCCCTCCAAAATTTGTAGGCGTCTTGCGTCCTTTGAATTTTAATTACACATTTTTCAAAGCTTTGCTTACATTTTGTCAATGTGGAGCCCTATTCAGCTCAGTGTTATTTCTCAAGATTATGGTAAACAATATATTGCTTTACTGTAAATTTGAGCCGTCACAATTACTTTTTGGCGAATAAAAATCTATTATTTTAACGATGTCTTTTTGTCTATATAATAAAAAGAACATTACACGGCGGCTTGAAGATATGAATTTTATTCTCTCGTGGCAAAAACAATATTTTACTCACTCGCTGCGCTCGTTCGTAAAATATTGTTTTGCCAGTCGAAAATAAAATTCATATCTTCGCACCACCGTTTAATATCCTCTATTTCCTTTGTTTCAAATTTAAACCAAGGATAAAACTTAACCACCACGTACACAATTATCTTTTTTACGTCTTCTTTGTGTATTTTCCAGCTGTTATAACCAGTAGGCTTGCCATTGCAAAATATTATAACTGTTACAGCGATTTTCTCTCCAAAATGAACTAAACCGTTGACGCTGACTTCCTGTACAGCGGAAATCACGCTAAGAAGAATGAAAGAATACAGCCTTCCAAAAAATATCGATCAGTTTTAAAAGAAGTTGACGAGACTGTGATCAATTTCTTAACACGAAATCTTCTTTTACTTTCTTTAGCGAAAGAAAAGAGAAAAAATAAAAATTCGACGAGGTCAAGAACCCCATAAATTACTTTAAAGACATTTTACAAATGTTATATTAATTTGTCACGCCTGGATAGGCAATTGATAGTTAAAATATTTACGTTACACGTTTTACTGTACTTCGCTGCCCGATAACAAAGGTTTCTTGTCTTCTGGTGTGTTTGTGGGTTGAACTGTCTTTACATCCTGCCCGATATCTGGAGTGCCTTGTAGGATGAAATCGTTGTCATTTGAGTCCTGTTTCGTGCTTCCTTCCCTGCTGTGTCTAATCCCATAACCAAAGTAGATGACAAATCCTATGAGAAAACAAGAACGGAGAAGGACGATAAGAAAACGCGAATAAGAAAACACAAAGGAAGAAGGGTGGGGGGAGGGGGGTGGGGGGTTAGAGTCAAGGGAGCAAAGGGGGCGAATCCGAGTATTACAATGGAAAATTTTTTCATTCAACTCCAGTATGTCATTCCCCAGTTGACTCCCCTTGCCTCCCCTCCCGCTTTACAATCTTTCGGCATAAGGAAGTTGGAAGAAAAACGAAACAACAACAGCAGCAACAACAAGAGAAAAGGATGAAAAACATTGTATTGGCCCGTAGCTACACATTTACGCTTAATTTTGTTTATTGCAACATATGGACTTGAACACTTGCACTTTGGTCTGCCAAATTAAAAAAAAAACGGAAATACCAGTTCATTTTGTTGAACGCAACGTCATTAATTAAAAAGAGGAAGCTAAATGATATGAAAAAGAAGTCTCATTTTTGTTGCGGGAAAGTTACTTCTAAACAACCGACGAAACGTACAATAATACACACTTTCTAAATTGTCGCCATTTTAAATGTCACGCCTTTTAACCACAATTCGTTTAGGTTCACTGCTTTCAGGGCAAAATATTTTTATAGACGTTCTCACATTGGCACTTCAGAAAATGTCCTAGTTTTGATAAAAAAAAAACATCGTGCTACTGAATTGATGAAGCTACTTGCTGTCCTTTGCTGCTTTCGGATGACAATGGTGAAACATAAACAGCATCAACACTAATGCGTTTCAAGAAACTCAGATGTTTGTGTTGTCAAAACCTAACGAAAGCTCTGCGTCCATATCAGCCTTCTCGAATGGGTTTTGATTGATGACACCAAGCTGTCTAAAACGCAAACAAAGATTTTTTGGAGTGTTTTCGAAACCCCCGTTACGTTTTCGATTGGATGTTTAGCGTGGGCGGGACGCAAGATCATGATTTATAGCCGCTCAAGTTAGATGTTTTTTGTCTTCCAACTATTCTGAAGAGGCTATCTGTTTTAGTTCTAAATTTTAATTTTATCCAGACTCTCCACAGAAACCTTTACCCGCCCTTCAAATTTTCGATCCCTTTTCTTTTCGCACAATGGAACGTAAAAAAATCTGTTTAAGACCCAAGGTGCCAATTCAGCCCTGCCGGCCAAAGTCTGATTCAGCCGCTCCTGGAGCCATTTGAGCACCATTTAAGCCAAAACAGCCCCATCAAAGCTATTCCAGACCACACTGGGGCCCATTTCAGCCCTTGGGTCCAAACAGCCCTAGGTAATTGGACTGTATTGGCGCTGATTAAGGGATCCAAATTAGATAAAAAAAATAGGATTCTATTTTTTCGCACCGAAAGGGCTAAAACAGATCTTAAACTAAATTTAAACCAAGTATATTATTTAAACACACCACATACAGGAGTCAAAATAAAGAATAAAGTAATTAGCACAGTCGGTCAGATGCAGGGCACAAAAGGCCAAAAAAATAACATTTTTTGGGACTTCATTTCATGTGAGATACTTCATTTTTTCCGGCTCAGTATCGGAAGAAAAAGATTCGCTAAACAATATTATCGCCAGAATTTCCTTTCCAAAAAACAAATCTGTGTGGTCCAAATTGTGGGACAGAACGTGATTCAGCTAAAAAAAGAATACTTTCCTTAAAAAGAGCTTTCGACCACACAAGTGAACGATATAAATGCAATATAATAACATAAAAAGTGTTCCAGAAAACCACCGCTAAAGTAATGACTAAAAGCGACACGTTTTTCACGTTTTTTTATGTACCTTTAACACGGTCGTATGGGCAACTTGCTGAAAATCTAGGAGGTGAATAAGTCTTAGCAGGACTGAAAACATGCCTTTTAATTTACAGTTCCAACTGGGAGTGAAAATTAAACGGACTAAAAGATGTAGTTTCTTTACGTATCTAGTAAAAAAAGGCAACAGAGGCAGTAAAAGGCTGTAATAGTCGGAAAATTGTTCTTATAATTTTAAATCAAGTAGTTACGCGATGCACACGCGAGTGGAACGCGCGTGATGTTGATGCCAAATCCTTGTTTAAAAACACCTGTCCTGCTGACGATCAATGTATAATAAAAATAAAAGGAAAACTTAAAATATCTCACTTTAGCGCACGGGCGAATATTAAGCCATATTGGTTGGCAAGAAAATATAAAACACGCGGAAGGACGGTTCAATCTAAACTGGCCATGGAAATATAAAAGAAGCTTTTCTAACTTAAACTCATCCAACCTTATTGATTAGATGTGGAAAGCAAAGGAAGACAAATATAAAAATCCTTAGTCGTCGTTCCAATGATCAGAAAGATTTTATTAGCACCAGACTACAAATTTGAAAACTAGTTTTAGCTTTTAGTTTACAACGGAAGAACGCCAATTGGCGAGAATTGCTTACTTGAACATGATTTGTAGAGAGAGCTTTTTCGAATGGACGAAAAAGAAAACCGTGACTTTAAAAAGAAAGAAAGAAAGAAAGAAAGAAAGAAACGCAAAATTTACTAAGATAGCTTGTTATGCCCTCCGAGTCTTCCTCTTTTTTTACATAAAGAGAATTTTTTTTGCGGCAAATGAAAATTCACACATTTCAAAGGAAAGACAAAAGCGTAATTATTCCATTAAGAAAGTCCTCTATCGCTGAATTAAGTCCACGTAAGTTGCTTCCATGGTTTCAAAGGAAATGCGTCAACCCGGGGGAGTAACGTGGTATACAGCTGGCAATCACAAAGAGATATTTCACCCCGCGTTAGAATTTAAACTAATTACAAGCTACGCATCGAGACAAATAAAAAACGTAAATGTTGATTTTTGTATTATTAATTCGTTTTTATTTCTGAAAACTGAATTTTGTAGCTCTCAGCAAAAACAGGTTGAACTAGCATTTTCTTTTCGAAATCATATAAGCATGAGTATTTTCAGGGTAGTTTTGGTTTTTCCGGCTTTTACTGTAAGGATTTTTCCGTAATTAGTTAATTTACCTACTAAACACTGTTACAAAGTATGAGTGTGCTTTTACCGGCGCATAAAAACACTGTATAATTAACTCCAGATGATGGAAATAAATTATTCCGTTTACTCTTCCCACCCTTACTAGTGAGAGGAATATTTAAAAAAAAAAAGGAAAACAGGAATAGCGACCAAAAGACGTAGAAAACTAACCGAAAATTAGCCGCCTGATCGAATTTATTTCGAGATCGATATTTCATAATATTATAAAGAATGAAGTTAATGCTGTTCATTCGAGAGGGTCTGCTACCTTCTCTACTTTCTTAGTCACAGTCGCCTCGAACAAACTGAATTATTCAATTTAATATCTGACCCCACAAGTAAATTTTATTCTCTCGCTAAGTATTATAAACTAACCCGTTTTAAAAGTGCTTAAAATAGAGGTATCTAAATGTACAACGCAACAATTCCGCAGTAATTATACGCAACGCTGAGCATGTAATCAGTATTCATGTAACGCATCTTCCGTCTCAGTTTTTATGAATAATAAATGTATCTTTCAAGCCAGCATATGGTCAGTCAAAAGACTGTATTTCTCGAGGACAAATCGTATTTACGAAGTTACACACAGTTCTTCAATGTTTTTGAAAGTTTTTAGACAACGTCCTTGAATATTCCGGAATAAAACACAAAACTAGGATAAGATTAATTCCCCTGCCTACTTTACTGTATCTATGACTCATTGGCACTACTGATAACTTGTTGCTGATAATGAAGTGATAGGCGAAGGAATACATTTTATTTCGGACTGAGGTTAACTGAACCTACTGCTAAGGATTCAAAAGAAATGCTCGAAAAGTGTACGGTTGTTGCTCTTTCACTGACTAAAAGAAATAAAATACGCGTCGACATAGGTATTTATCATGGTAAATTAAAAAACGAAAAAATAATAATATAAATATTTTTGAACAGAAAACAAACAAATTGTAAACAGGAAAATATAACAGTGCCTTACCTATGACCATCCAGACTCCGAATCGTACCCAAGTCCATTTCGCTAGCTTTAGAAGAAGGAACAGGTTGACGATAACACTAGCGATAGGTAACACAGGAATACACGGAACAGTGAAAGGAAATTTGGCATTGTTCTTTGGTTGTAGCTGCATCACTACCACACCAAAAATGATGAGAAACCCGAGAAGAACCGCTGTGAATATTGCCCAGGCATCTCGGTCTCCAAGCGCGTCCCAGCCCGCGATGAGTAGAGCACAGAAGCCGGTTAGTCCTACGACTATTAGAGCAACAGCGGCCGCGGCGATTTGACTTGTAGTGTCGGTTGGTCCTTCCTCATCCTCGATGTCTGGTTTCTTGTCGTTTGTGACACTTTCCAGGGGTTTGTATTCAGCTTCTTTGGACTCAGGGAGCATACTCTGGCAACATATAACTCTGTAGCTTCGTACCGAGCTCGAGGTCTCTTCATCGTACTCGACGTCTTGAACGCCTGGCTGGAACCTCAGAATGAGAACCGAGAGTGAGACGAGAGTGTAGGCCAGTAAAGTACCGATCGACAGCATTTCAACAAGTTGCTGTAGGTCCAGAAACAGCGCCAGGGTTGCTGACAACACACCTGCAAAAGCGATCGAGATGACGGGGACATTTGTACGCTCATAAATCCTGGAGAAAAACTTGAAGAGAAGCCCGTCACTTGCCATGGAATACATTATACGGGGAACAGCAAAGATCCCGCTCATAAGAGATCCCGCCAAGGCACACAGCCCGCCGACGGCTATCACGTACTTAGCCCATGAAACACCTGCTAACTTGAAAGCTTCTGGCAACGGTGCGAACTTGTCCAGCTTATCGTAGGACACCATCAGAGTTAAAATGGAAGCCACGCCGAAGTACGCCAGAAAACTGATGATGAGACATAACATGATCGCCAAAGGAAGGGCTCTCTTTGGATTAATCGTTTCTTCGCTTGCCGTCGCTATCACATCAAAGCCGACGAAGCAGTAGAAACAGCTGGCAGCACCGGCTAGAACTCCTGATACACCGTATGGGAGAAACTGGTTAGCCCCGGCCCAGTTGCTGGGGTTGACATGGAACAAGCCTATAACAATCACGAAGACGATCACCAACATGTTTATGGTAGTCACTACCTTGTTGAATACAGCCGAGTGCTTTGCTCCGGTAGCGACAAGCATGGAGACTAACAGAACGAGAATAAACGCCAGGAAGTCAGGATATGAACCCAAACCGGAGGCTTGAAACTGCCCGATGTTGTCGATGATAAACTTTCGAATAGCTCCGCCAACAATGGAGTCAATGTACTCACTGCTTGCTCTGCCAAGTGAAGCCGTTCCGATCACATATTCTAAAATCATGTTCCAGCCAATAATGAAGGCCCATATTTCTCCCAGAGAAGAGTAAATGTAGACGTACGCAGAGCCCGCTTTGGTGATCCGACAACCGAACTCCGCGTAGCAAATCCCGGAAAGGAAAGCCGCCACTCCAGCAATGAAGAAGGACAACACGATGGCTGGTCCGGCGACATCTCTGGCGATCTGCCCTGTAACGACATACAATCCTGCTCCTACGGTCGCGCCAACTCCAATAGAAGTTAAATCAAATATATTAAGGCATCGGCGAAGCGGAGAGTTCGAAAGATCATTGTCGATCTCTTTTCGTCGCGATAGAAGTCGAAGAAACCGTGCAAGACTCATTGTCAGTGTGATATCGGAAGACTGTAAAACGTTTGCCCCTAGTGGGTTTTCAATTTTCAATACAGCTAATTGATGAAGGTTTAGAAACCTCCCTTCGCTTTAAAACGTCTCTAAATGAGTGTCATAATTAAATTCGCTCCCCTTGAACGAGTTAACCTCCTCGTGCTTTAGAAAACGTAAACCTCCTTCTGTTTAGAAGGAATTGAATTTGTACTCAAGCTCTTCGCGTGTGTATCTCGAAGCGGTGATATATTAGAAAATCGAATCAGGATTTTTAATTGTTAAACGATATTCAGAATTGTTGTTGAATTTGCATGACACTTCACTGTGTGACGTATCTAGACAATAGCAGATGGTTTTTGACCAATGATTGTTTTCGTGAAAGCCGCCCTAATAGGTCAGCAAATGACAACAAGCAGGAAAATTCAAATCTTTCTGACGCTCCATTTCTTGTCCTGAAATTATTCTCTAAGAACTCGCGAACGTATCTGTCAGTTTGGTATTTTAAAAAGCAGGACTTTTTGTTTAGATGATAGCCTCTGTGGAATCCACCGGGTGGTTTAAAGATGTTTTGAAATGCAAATTATTTTAATCTCGATGACACTTTCTTCCGCTGCTGTTGAAACGAAAACAGCTATTATAATATATATACAAAAATAAGAATTCTTCGCAGCCATTTTTTGCTGCGTTCAAACTTTTTTTTAAAAAGGATTTTCTAAATATTTTTCCGGTGCCAAGAATGTCCCAAACAAATCTGATATTTGCTTTTGGACCTTTTGAAGTGTTTTTGAACGAATCATCACTATGATGTAATCCTGAGATGGCATGAAATAAGACCAAATAATTCTGAGGAAGTGAAACTAATTTTTTTTTCTCTCCATCTCCTTGGAGAAGTCTGCGGAAAGAAAGTTGAATGAAAGGGGCTGTAAGAAAACTTTATAAGTAAATGTTTCCATTTACAGTAAATTTTGACTGTACAATATTGTATTATGACGGATCATGAACACTTGTAACCAGCCAAGGGCTTTCAAAAGAGGCACGTGAATTGTGAGTGGATCGTGTTCACGCGCGAGTGAACGCGACGCGAGAATCCCGCTTTTAGCTCTCAAATGCTTGCATGCGCGATAATATCATAAATGAGGTTCTCAGATAGAAATGGCTTTAAAAATGTAGATTTCGAACGGCCACCACGGTTTTCAAGTTGTAGTGAGCTTCACCTGCGACCAAGTAATCGGCTCCTGGCAGTCTTTAAAGAGTGACTACATCAATTTTTCTTAACAGTAGTTTTGAAAACCATGAACAAAAGAAAAGTTATGAGATTTAACAAGCACTAAATGGAGAATGCTTTAATCTTTTCTCTGAGAAAATTCTTTAAAGAAATAAGTGCATGGAGATCAGTCTAGATAACTCTTATGTAGATATCGGGGCTGGGTTAAACCACTGCTGAAACTTGCGTTATACCGTCACACGGTGTCATTACAGATGCGTACGAAACAATGAAAAACGTTCTCCATTTATCGTTCACAGTGCTTTGCTTCTCTAGTTGTAAAAATTGAAATGCCCTTAATGTGGGATGGGGAGAGGATAGGGAGAAGCAAAAAAAAAAGAGCGCATGGGGGACGATGGGAAGGAGAAAGAGAGGAAGCGAGGCCTCTGCCCCCCCCCCCCCCACCTTTTCTTTCTTCCCATCGTCCCCGGCGCGCTTTCTTTTTTTCGATTATAGCAGCCATCGGGAGCCTCTGTGGAGAAGAGAGCTGAAACCTAGAGTGAAATAGCACGTACGTCATACTCTGCTCCATTTTTCGGCTTTATTTCAGTTTAAAGAACAAAGAGTTAACATCCAATATTTTAGACTCTCAGCCTTTAGATTTTTCACTCCTATTCTAAAGTTTTCTAAATTTCTTACGGCAATTCGTTCATGTCTTACGATAATTCGATTTTAGCTTGACCATTCCACGTTGTGATAAATGTTTCTGTGAAACACTGATCTGGCAACTAGGGAATTTTATTTATAGGAATTAACCGCGATTTGTATGAGATAATTGACAAGCTAAGTTTCGCTTTCCGTGGTTTCTATCTAAGTGCCAACCGGACTAGAAAGGTTTCTGTCCAAATTTTCAGAATTGCAAAAGAGTATGAGAAAATTGCTTTCCAACATCTCGGGAGAGCGATGAACGTCCCTCAATAAGCACATTTGGTATAACACAATAAATAGCATTTGTAAAAAATAAAACGGCATTCATATCCATATTTCTTACTTAAAGCGCTGATTCTGATTTTCAGATTTCTCTTTGTAAATTGCGTGTTCAAAATAAGTTTACAGGGACTCTCGCGACAGTTGCCCTTCATTTTCACTTCCTTTTCATGTTCTTTCAGACTCGACGCCTGTTTACAGTCCACTTTCTCTCTAAATTGACACCTTCTATGACACGTACATCGATTTTAACATTGACATCGGCAAAGAGGTATATGTATACACCTATTTCAATTAAGGTTGCTTCTGAGAAGAATGATGCATGATCCGTGTTTCATAGCCTGCGGTGCATTATTGTAGCAAGTCTAGTAAATTATGTGCCCGCAACGAGCCTAGAAACCCAGAAAGCAAACGCTTCTAACGCTTCTATGCTATGTCAGCAGAACGTTAAGACAATGTATTTCAAAACACTGAATCCTAGCCTTTTTAATTTAAGGCTGTGTTTTGACGTTAGGTTTTTCTCTGTGGCAATATGCAAATGCTGCAAATTTTCAACGAGTTTGCTTGGCTCGCGCACGTGGGAATTTTGGATAGTTTTAAAAAATCAAATCCAAGGCGTTTGTTGAAAAACAATAAATAACTTAACATTACGTGTTTATCTATTTTTGAGGCAATTTTTTTAAAACTGAATAAAAAAAAGAATAGCGTTGATTTGCTTTATTGGCGTGAATAACCAGCATTCTGGCCAATGCAAAAACGCAACTTAATGAGACAGTTAACACTATTCATTTAATGTTGTTGAAAGAAGAGACTTCTTATTTTTACTATGAGATTTTAAAACAGCTCGCTCATGCTTAAGAATTTTAGCAGCCATTTTGACTTGAAAGCTCTCTTGAACGCCTTTCACAAATGGTCTCCATTATTTCAATGAACGTGAACAAGACTAAACTTCCCGCTACAAAAGGGTTTACCATGATGCATGGCAGGCTATGAAACATGGTTCACGCGGGAGCAACCTTAATTGAAATAGGTGTATACAGTTGAGGTCCTTGTCAGTCCTCAGTAATTTATTTTTCTTGCATGTCGGCTAATTAACCACTGATTAACCCAAGATAGTAAGGCTAGCTGTAAGGTCTGGGCCGAACGTCCGCGAACTTTTCATTGGACGCACCAAACTTAGTAAGTTAACTGGTGATGAAAAGTTCGACGTCCGGCTCAGTTAAGTTCGTCTGAATGTCCAAGCTCCTTCGGACGGATTAAACGTCTGAAGATCGTCCCGAGGACAAACGTATTAAAAATATGCATGATAATGAATATCTAGCCTCGTTCGGGAGAAAATTTATTAAAATATTGCTTTTTGGTCTGATTCAGCTGATTGGTTCGATGCCTCTAAGTTCTACATTTGTTCCAACAGACGATCTTAAGTCAGTTGAGGTCGACCCAAATTAAAGCTTGGTTCGTCTCATAAAAAGTTCATCGACGTTTGTCCCAGGTCTTAGTGATCCTATCTCAACTCTCGGTTTCCATCTAAGAGGGTGTTGACTGTATTCCATCTCGCTATATCACTGAGCCTGTTCACAGACCCTCAATTTTCTCTTTGAAGATCGTCGAGTGCACGTATGGAAATAAAAATACCGGGGGATTTATCTACTGCAAGCGAAAGGGGCTGGAGATGGAGAAAGATTTGCTCTCCGAAAAATGAAATGAAAAACTCCTACGGAGAGGCTGTGTATCACAATGCTTATTTCTATTTTTCACTGATATCTATTTGTCACTTCTGCGAGAATGCATGGGTACAGGCTTTCCGCGCAAAGACGTTTGGGTGGTTTTTTTTCGGGGGGGGGGGGGGGGGCAATGTACGATTAGTTAATGACTGCTTGGCCTCGACCAGTCATAACTACCTCTTTTCGACCCAAACGTTCCTAAACTCTGTATCCATTCTCTGTAGCTACTGTAGTTTATTGCCGAGTGGCCAATTTAAGGCATACACTTTGCTTCTTCAAAATTAGATGTTCATCGAGGTGATGGATACTCTTTAAATTCTGTTCCGAAATCAGGCATTGTCGATCGAATGAACGGAGTTTCTGATCTTTCAGAAGGTTTGACGGCTTCCACGCTGTGACTGTAACCATAGCAGAAGTACACAAGGAGACCTATGGAAAACCAAAAGTCAAAAAGAACATTGCTAAGACTGAACAGGATAATAAAAAGATTTCGCTCAATGGAGGGTGTTATCGATCGGCCGAGACGGATAACACCCTCCGAGATCTGCATGTACAGATCACACTAAGCCAAATCCACCGATTGTTTTAATATCCAGTCTAAATAACTCGGATCATTATACGTTGCTGGGAAACTGCCCACCTAACCCTCCCCTAAACCAACATTTTGACCTAAGTCAGAAGTAAGTGTTAATGTTGGCAAAGGGGAGGGGTCGGTGGACAGTTTCCCAGAAACGTATAATGCGCTAACACAGCCTGGTAGAGTATCTCGGTTGCAGTGCTTTTTTCTAGCGATATCTCGCAATACTGATGTCATTTTACCTCCGCCCTCGAAGGAAAACCCCTTATCAATCTCCATAATTCTTCACATAATCATTGTCAGCCCCATTCAACGATTTTTAAATAAATTATGAAAATAATAACGATGATGATGATCATAATGATGATGATGATGATGATGATAAAGTGATAATACTGTTGAACCTCCATTAAACGGCCACCCTCAATTAAGCAGCCGAGGCCTCCATTTTGCCGTCTTAAGAAGAGTTCTCCATTGTTTTCACCTCTATTAAAGGAGCTGTGTCGTTATGGAACTTAGGCCCTGTTTACATGGAGTGGGGCACCCCGGTCTAGTGGGGTTGGTTTCTTTTGTTTACACGCTCTGGAGGACACAAAACAAAAGAAACTTACCCCACTAAACCGGGGTCCCCCACTCCATGTAAACAGGGTCTTAAAGTAAGCAAAGAGATTACATGTAAAAGAGAAAATCATAGATTCAAGACAGAGAAATATGTCTCTTGAGCATTATATTTGAAGTTGCAAACATCAGAGATCAACTTTAAAAAACTGTTAGGCTGAACAGTTTTCAAAAACCCTAATTTCAATCCGTTTCTATCTTCTTCAGTTTTGCCCATCCGTGGCACCTGTTGTATATGTTGTGTTATTTTAACCTTCCTTAAATGTTTTAAGCGGTTATTTTTGCGTTTCTCTTAATTAAACGGGTATTTTGTAATTACCTAATTAGGCTGAATTAATTTCGTGACTCAGCTCCTTTAAGCGGCCATCAAGGGCTTGATACACCTAGTTTGGCTTTATTTTAAGAATATGATGGAGGAAAATAAAGTCCGAGATAGAAGGCGACAACTGATTGTGGAACAGTAACGCTAGTTACCTGTTTGTTTCAAAATAAAGTGATGTTTTTGCAAAAGATTATCCTAATTTGTGGCCAACCTCCATTAACCACTTGTCGTTACCTCGAGGGTGGCCGCTTAATGAAGGTTCAACTTTAGTAAATACATAGCGCATTGGGGGTTTTCTTACCTAAGATCATCCACACACCGAATCGTATGTACGTCCAGTGATCTAACGTCACCACCAGAAGAATATTGAAAAATATTGTAATTGCTGGAATGATAGGGACTCCTGGAACCATGAACGGGAAAGTGGCAGAATTTTTTGGCTGCCGAATGATAAACATCAACGACGCAACGATCATCAGGCCAAAAATACAGCACAGGAGAATCGCCCAGGCATCTCCTTGAGCCCAGTAAGAAAAACTACTAGTGAGGGAAATTGTTAAAGTAGTAATGGATAATGTCAGGACAAATGTAGCGACGCGAACCCGGAAGCTTGTGGTCTCGTCCGGTTGTCTTTCCTCCGACAATTCGTCCCCGTCGTTGCTTTCCACTTGTTGGTAGCTAACATCTGGGAGACCGCCATCTTTCCCTTCTGTTTCTCCAGGCCGGCAGCAGATCGTTTTCAGCCATTCGGCGGTCTTCTCGCTGGTTCCATTTTTCTCCAGTGTGACGCTCTGCACTCCAGGTGTGTAACGAGTTACGAGTATAGCAATTGCTACCATCGTGTAAGCTACTAATGTGCCAATGGACAACATCTCAACCTAGTAATATTGACAAATTGCACCGTTAACTACCGTACCGTAATCTACATTATGGACCTAAAAACTTCGGAATTGTCTACTACTTTATACATTTACTGTTCTTCGCAAAAGCCGTGTTAAAATTATAATACTTTTCCCTCTCCCTTTTTCCTAGTTGTGGTATAAGTATTTCTCAAAGGATCCAGTGAACAGTTCACTCAAAACAAGAGAGTTTCAGATCCGAGTTTACTGCGAACCTCTAACAGCGGTTTGCGGTTACCCGTTTGCGGTTCGACGTTCAAACATAATTCGATTTAGATTGGTGGTAGATTAGATTACGGCCGCCATTTTGAATCAGCAGCCATGAATGGCACTTGTTTTCAAGATCCAATAGGATTTGTCAAATTTAGCATTTCGACCGAATTTGTGCCTCTGTTAATGGATAAAGATTTGCTCCACAAGATTTTTGTATCATTTCGTGGGATAAAAAAACAATTATGCGCTAAAAGCTTTCAGGTAAATGACATACGTGAAAACCTACCTCCCCACGTTGAAAACGCACGTCGTAAACCTCAAACGTGACGCGAAAGACTTGCCATGTGACCTCCAGCGGTTAGAGGTTCGCGGTAAACTCGAATCTAAAACTCTGTATTCAAAAGACCCAGAGGCTCGGTCAAATGCAAATTAGATTTTAGGTAGTGATCGCAATAATGATGAAGATCTGAGCAAGTTAGCCGATGCTAATTATTTCTTATCTTAAATTATTGCAGCTTAAAAAAATAATAGTAATAATAACAATGATAATAATAATGACAATAACATAATATAAAGATAGCTATTGACTTATAGTGCCTTCACATGGGAAAAATTAGAATAACATAATAATGTTTTATCGTCTAGACAAAAATTCAGAAAAACCTAAGAGGGGGGTGGCACCACTCCCCCTTGTACTTCCGAGGGTTAAAATCCCGAATCCCAAGCTTTAAATAAGGGAACTCCCCGATCCTGAAAAACCTATTGGGGAAATAACCCAGATTTTAGTAGCTTACCAATTGCTTAACATCCAAAAGTAATGCCAATATTGCAATCAAAACGCCATTAACCAAAGCAGCACGAACGGGAACTTTTGTCTTGTCATTCACATGCCCGAACCAATTGAACAACAAACCATCGGAGGCCATTGAGTAAACCACGCGCGGGGCAGCGAAAGAGTTGGACAGAAGTGTACTCATTGTTGCGAACAACCCTCCAGTCGCCACGACGTACTTGGCGCCACTGAATCCTCGTTGGGCGAAGGCCTCTGCCAGAGGAGCGAACCGGCTGAGTTGACGATAGGGCAATATGAGAGTAAGAACTGTGGCGACACCAAAGTAGGATAGAAAACTGATAGCAAGACACAAGATGATTGATAATGGTATTGAACGCTTGGGATTGACAGCCTCTTCGCCCGCCGTACCTATGACATCAAATCCCACAAAGGCATAAAAACAACTTCCGGAAGCAGTCAGCACTCCACTTGCACCATAAGGAGCAAATTTGGTTTGCCAGTTCCTCCCATCGACAAAATGTAACCCAGCAATGATGATAAAAACGATGACAGAAAGGTTTATAAAAGTCATAACTTTGTTGACCAGAGACGATTTGTGTGCACCCAGCGAGACTATGCCGGCAAAAATCAGGGCCAGCGCCATGGCCAGGAGATCGGGGAAGCTTCCAAGAGCCGAAACGTTCCATGTGGCGATGTCCTCCATGAAGAACTTGTATATATAGCCTTGAGCAAAGGAGTTGATGTACTCGCTGCACGCGCGAGCCACACTTGCTGCCGCGATGATATACTCCAGAATCATATTCCAGCCCACAACGAACGCCCAGAACTCCCCAACAGCAACGTACGTGTATACATAAGCCGATCCAGCCATGGGTATACGACAGCCAAACTCTGCATAGCAAATTCCAGAAAAGAAGGCGGCTATTCCAGCAATAAAGAAGGAGAGAACAACCGCTGGTCCTGCGACATCACGTGCCAATTCTCCTGTAACTACATACAACCCTGCACCCACTACAGTGCCCACCCCTATAGAGGTGAGGTCTAGTGTGTGAAGACATCTTTTAAGGGGGGTTTCTGCCAACCAGTCCTCGGTGGGCTTTTTTCGTGTTAAGTTGTTGCATACTTTGGAGCAGTTGTTCATGTCTAAGAAAGAAACCGTAGAATAAGATAGACATCTATGTTAAAGGAGCTGTGTCACGAAATTCAGCCAAATTAGGTATTACAAAATGCCCGTTAAATCCAAGAGCCAAATAAAAATAACCGCCAAAAACATTAAAGGAAGGTTAAAATAACACAACAGATACAACAGATGCTACGGATGGACAAAACTGAGGAAGATTGAAGCGGATTGAAATTACGGTTTTTGAAAATTGTTCAATCTAACAGTTTTTCAAAGTTTATCTCTGCTGTTTGCAACTTCAAAAATAAAGCCCAGGAGACATTTGTTTGACCCGAATCTCTCTGACTTTGTCATTTACATGTAATTTCTTTGCTTACTTTAAGTTCCGTAGCGATTGAGGGCGAGTCATTGAAAAAATTAAACAAAATGAACTGGACTGCCGTGACACAGCCCCTTTAAATGGCGTAGAGACTTCTACCTTATTAGTTAGTATATATAATAAAACAAGCCAGAGCCAGTATAGTAGAACCTCGATAACTGATGATTGGCTACATAAGGGACTGGCAAAATATGTTCGCTATAGCAAGGTTTCGTTGTATCGAGGTTGTTTTCAACTTTTTTGACGATTTCTGATGTAGAAATCGTTTATCATCAAGGACTTTAATGAAAAAAAAAGGTTGGTTACATAGAGGTTTAACTGCACTGTGTACTCTTCATCCGGGACCCCTCATTAAAGGGTGTGTTTCACGGCTGTCTTGTTCATTTTGGTGAAGATATAATGCCAGTTACACGTCTTTATTCGTAATTAAACTTGAGAAATTGCCTGCGAATGACAAAATCGCAGCTTTGTAGCAAACAAAATATGTATCCCAAGCATTACATCGATAGTTAAAAACAACGAAAATGAACTTTGAAAAAATGTTATATAGACTAACAAGTTTTCAAAACCGTGCCCAATTGCAATGGGCTATTGCATTTAATCTCCTTACCCCCACCCGGTTGAAGACTTACCTTTTCTTCTTACCCTTGAAGATTGACTAAAATTGCATTCACCCCTGAAGACTTCCGTAAAATATGGGCTTACCGCTGAAGAATATGGGTATTAGCCCCGAAGAATTTGGTTTTACCCCTGAAGAATTTCGCGAAAATCAAAGCTTCACCCCCAAATAATTACGTATTTTTTTTACTCTACCCCTAAAGAAATCCTCAATTTTTATAACTTACCCCTGGAGAATTCCATGGTTCCTCATCCGGGTTGAGGGGGGGGGGGATGCGGATATTAAATGCAATAGCCCAATCTGATTCAATTTTCTTCAAGTTTGTCCATCCATGTTTTCGCTTGAATATGCTGTCAGTGTTATTTATATACCCTCCATGTTCTTTTAACGTTTTCAGCGGTTATTCTGAAGTCTCACACTCAATTTGGTGGCAGTTCACGCTGTCTGAATTTTGATAAATTTCGTGCCACAGCTCCTTTTTTGGCCCTTCGGGCCTCATTTTGGTCTAAAAAATAAGTGGCTCCACACTGCTTTCCAGTACAAATACAGACGTTTAAGCAAAAACTGCGAAATTGACTGAAACTATTTAAATTTTTCTTCAAATTTAATTGTGCCGCTAAAAACATTTATTTAGCAACCGGTATAGTCAGTGTATAATAAAATACATTTGTTTTAGCGCAAACTGTTCAAAGTCACTCTTGTAAAGGCTCAGTCTATGTGCCAGCACGAAAATCTAATCCGGTGGAGTGTGTACACCTATGCGATATGCGACTCTCGACCTCGCTTCGTTAATGAAATCACTCGGTTTTTAAGTGTAAACAAAATCCCTATCCGGTATAGTGTCAACGCCGACGCAAAAAAAAAAAAATCTGTCTGGTGTAGTGTGAACGCACCCAGCCTCAGTTAGCCTGTTCCAGGCGTTCAGATAGTAGAGCGCGGGAGAAAAATTCACGAAGAAAAAAAAAACGAAGGAGACTATCTGAACGCCTGGAACAGGCTAAGCCTCAGTTGATACAGCAGGCGTAAAGGGAACAAAATCAACCCACTGAGGAAAAGTATTGCCGTGCCTAAATCCTTGAATCAGTGTTTTGTCGGTTAGATTTTGATTTCTACTTCAGTGTTTATTAACTCATTTCGACGCAAACGCTTCTGTCTCTGAGTTTTTGTTGCAATTTCCGTTGACTAAAAAGAGGAATTAAGAACAAAGTATGTTCATAAAGATGGACATGCAGTTAGGTTGAACCCGCTCTCACATACCTTCTCCCATCAGACATAATCAGTCGGTGAAAATATATCTGATTTTGCTGAAAATCATTTTTGTTGAAATTTCTTGTTGGTTCTCGATTCTACTGATCAAAACTATTACACGCACGCCAGGTAAAGAATACAGTGAAACCTCTACTAAGCGGACCCCCAATTAAGCGGACACCCTCTATTAAGCGGACACTAAGCCCGGTCCCGAAAGTAATGTCTTATATTTCCCTTTATAACGAACCCCTATTCAGCGGACACCTCTATTAAGCGGACGCAGACGCTAAAATAAAATTGTATTTCGCTAATTTCTATTGTTAAAAACCTCTGTGAAGCGGACACCGCACTGAATTGACAGTCGGCAGTATTGGATTACGTCCTTGAAATACGTACTGTAGTCTATTAATAGCGATAAGTCAATACATTTAGCAATAGCTGTCAATAAACTGAAGGTTAGACCGATGTCCGGCTGTATAATTGTCATTAGCCTGCGTGGCAGGCGTTAAAAGGGGAAGAGGAGCCACGCAGGCTTAATTGTCATCCGCGATCAAAGTTCATCTAAAAGGGGGAATTTCATATTTCCCATGATGCAATGCTTCATACTTTTTTATCAACCTTCCGAACACACGTGATCCTATCAGTTCAACAAGGAGGCGACAGTTGAACAACAGTGGAAAGCGACGTGTTTCGCCGATGAAGCCCACTGTACCTTTGTTGTGTCGATCTTTTTCACGATTTTGTTTTACTGTTCCAAATATATGTTTTGTTAAGTCAAAGCAGGAGCCCATCAAATGGAGCCTCCATCTCCATTAATTTCTTGGTCAAAGGGAGTGTTTTTTGGCCGCTAATACTGGTTACCTTGCCGTCCGATTGTAAGGTAGTGTATATACCGTATTTATTCGATTAACCGCCCTGGGCGCTTATTAAATTTTTGGATCTTGAGAGTGGGCGCTTATTCGAGGTGGGCGCTTACTCGAGGCTGGGCGCTTATTAAAATTTCACCATTTTAAGCAAGTGAAGTATCTTTATTTTGCAACAAAACAATAAATGCTAATAACAAAAGGCGAAGAAGTAACAAAGCAACGTTTCTGTAAAATACTCTGAAGAAAACTCCGTCCTCGGGGAAGTCTCTTATTAGAATTTATTCACTCAAGTGGGTGGGGTGGGGGTGAGCGCTTATTTGAGTTTGATTGGGAGGAGGAGGGGTGGGCGCTTATTCGAGGCTGGGCGCTTATTAACTTTTTCGGCCTTTAGGATGGGCGCTTATTCGAGGTGGGCGCTAATTCGAGGTTGGGCGCTTATTCGAATAAATACGGTATACGCAGATGTTCCGTGAAGCTAGCGAGGAAGATCTTTGCTTCAGTACGTCTTGTACGTCTTGTTTTCCTAAAAGTCTTGCACAAAGTACAGCTCAGCTTTTCTCGTATCCTTAACAACATGAGACTTTATCACAGTACAGAGTAATCGTTGAAAGTTAATCGTTCTTAACAATGCGCAATTTTTACAACCTCTATTAAGCGGACACTTGGGAAGGTCCCGAAGGTGTCCGCTTAATAGAGGTTTCACTGTAATTGAGTGTTCCAAATGAAAGACCTATTATTGCATTTTTCTTCATTGAAATATATGATGAAAATCGCCTGGCTTAGCTTCCAAGTAGGGACGAGTTTGTCGGTAATTCTTTTATCATTTTAAGAAGAGAGCAAACGACAAGAATTTGTCTCATAACTTAGTAAAAATGACTTTTTGATTATCAGCACTGAGATTTTGGGCTCAGTGATTTTTTTTATGCGCCATTTGAGGCAAAAACGCATCATTTAAAATTAAAACTGATGTCTGTCAGTTAAATCTATAGTAACTTATCCATCGTCAAGCTCTTCTGTCTTAAATTGCAAAAGTTCGCGACACGTCGCACGCGCCATGTTCCTGTATTTGTCGTCGGTTTTGCTTCACGCTCCAATCTCTAGCAATTTGAAGGGGTTCTGGCAGGAACCCATAACTCAGAGCGAGCACTTGCAACTCCCACACTAAGCTTATGATACGGCGTTTTCACGCACCGGTTTATTTGTACATACACTTAAGAGCACTTTTTCCCGCTAAAGTGGAATCTCCGCTATTACCATTTTTGGGTCTGTAGGTGTTCCTGACTAGTTTGTGGGACTTAAAAATTGTTCTAAATTCGCGCCAAAACCGTTCTTAAAATAACTTGGCTAGTAAAAACGCCGCGACAAAAGTGCATGGAAGTTGCATTGCTCGCTCCAGGTTATGGGCTCTTGCTTCTGGCTAATCGAGTGTGGCTGTACTTCTGCATGCCAGCATGCAAATTGCTCGAGCCCGTTTCGTTACCTGTGAAAGCGAGAGTAGGGACCGAAACAATCTTTACTTTTAGTGTGACCAGTCTTCTATCCTCTCCTAGGATTTTCGAACATCGTAAAAAATGGTATAATTTCCCAGTTTTAACGGATTTTTACCCTAGAAAGGTCACCTAGAATTTTCGGGAGCCTTGTTTTTTCTGGCTAAAATTTTCGAAAAGGTATTAAGTTTTCATGTGATCCCTATTATTTTCGGATCACTAGACTTTCAGCTAGGAAACCGAACAGATGAAGAATGTTTAGGGGATAAAAATATGCCTATACTGATGTACCGTTTAAATACTAGAATACGTTTAACAATTTAAGTGGACAGGTTTTGAACTATATATATTCTCGTTGGGTTCCCCTAAGTTTAGTCGAATACTGTCATTCAACCCGTGCTGATCGCTTGCTGTTTGTTTGAAAAG